AAAAAAAATGATTTACAAAACATAAATAGTATAATTTATATGTGTAAAATAACTAGCCACAATTGAAAATTAATTACACTCAAAAATTTTACGACAATAGAAAGCATGCCAGCACACCATTAGAACCTAAATTATTATCTCTTCTCTATTCACCAACCTCTCTTGACACCATATATACCTCTGCCCCTCGTTATTGGTTTTGATGGTCAAGACATAGTCTCCCATGTGCCTCTCTCATTTTCCCTAAATAATTTGGTATGCCATTTTATTTACACTTTTTTTGTTTTTGTTTTTGATATTAATTACTAATTAAATCTAATCGGATCCCTTTTACTTTTGTGTAGCGTAAGATGAGACAATCATATGAGCCGATAGAATCACCGGCGTTAATGCTTACTCTTTTTACTAATGGTCAGGCTAGTAATGCTGCAACTACTGAGGTATGTGTGAATTATATGCTACTTTTCAATACTCGTGTAGCTAGATTTGGAGTATCAGAAATCAAATCTAATAAATTTATAACATATTTAAATTTAAAATTTTGAGTATGATATTTATTCAATCAAATTGATTTATGATGCACACAAATTTGTAAGATAGAGTGATTTTGCCTTTTGGACTCATTAGATCATAGACTCGCCAGAAACTTTTTCAAAATGTTCTGTGTATTTGTATAGAAACGGGTGCAGGAGCTACTCCTAGTGTAGTGCTGCTTTGCCAGAAGCCCTTCATCGTTTCTTAAAATGAAAAATGTTTCAGGGTCTAATTGAAAAAAAAAAAACTTCTTAGGTTAAAAGAAATATGAATTTTTATTACTTACTAGAATTCTTATCCAGTGAGAACTTTTGGACAAATCCAAAATATTAATTTACAAGATCTGATGGATAGGAAATCAAGTAAAAAAAAAAAAAAAAAAAGCGGAAACATTTTCATAAATATTACAAATTTTTTAATACAGAGTGATATTTATGAAAAAAGACCCCATCTTTTTTTTTTTTTTCATTTTTTCCTTTATTTTCAACCGTTAAATCTACTAGATTGATGGTTTGGATTTTCTCACCTAAGGCTTGTTTTCATTGGAGCTAGACCCATATGTGTGTGTGTGTGTGTATAGTGTATTACTTTTAATTATAGAATTAATAAACAATTACGGAGTAATATTTATTCATGTTTAAAAAATATTAACAAGTAAAATTTACATTTTTTTGCTTTTCCAGTTATACCAGTGGTATAGACTTAGTTCATGAGTTATATGTGTGACCATCTTTAACCCATATGACCTATGTTATGCATGAATTGGCAATTATAGTCTATTAGGGACTATTTCTGCCACCAATATGCCACTTAATAAAGTGGTGGATTTGGTCCTTCAAGGACTAAACCTGCCACTTTGTGCATAACTTAGGGGTTAAAAGATGCTAACACATATAACTCACAGACTAAGTTTGTACTAAGACTCTAGGAGTATAACTGGAGGACCAAAAATGCCATATTTTCTATTTACAAATATACCATATTATGTTTTAAAAAAATAACGTAAGTTTTCTCATGTTTCATGTATTACCTTTAATTTTAAAATTATCATTGGAATTGATTATTGTTTTTTTTTTTTTTTTGATGAACTAATGTGAGTTAGGACATAAATAATTCTGATGTAATCCAATTCGATTTGGTTGAACAGTTGACTTAGTAATCACAAGGTTCCAACTACGACCCTCCATGAAAGCTGTCTATTGGCCTTCTTAATTTAAATCAGTTAACTATGAGCAACTAAGGTTAATCCATATGAAAGTGTTCTAAAAATCCTAACTTGTTTATTGCCCTATAATTGTTTAGTAAATGTGATGAAAGAAAATTGTAGGCTATCTTTTTCGATCATCCTCATTTCTTCTGCTGAAAAACTTCTCATGCCTTAAACTTCTCATGTTATTATATTTAGTCAATTTACTTTTTGCGATTTTTTAATATATAGTAATTTAGGTTTAATCAATAATTTTATTATGGCAGGATGGGGTGATGGTTAACCTTGATGTGGTGCCACATAGTCAGGAGCAACAACTAAAAAGGTCCATAACTACAGGAGTTTATGATATGAGGGTGAAATTCAATCCTTCTCCAGAAATTCATGCAAATTATGAAATAGACATAATCATGGTTAGTATTTGTTACTAATTAAGATAATTGTAGACTAGCATTTCCTCAATTTATATATTCGAGATTTAATAGTAATAACAACAACAAAAACAATAATAATAAGTTATGTAAATTCTAGTCGTATGGTATTTTAACAAATGCATACAATTATAGGGGGAGAAAAACTTGGATGAAGATGAAGCAACTTTCCCTCCCCAATATAGAGAAAGGGCGTGCAAATGGAAGATCCAAACTAGAAAGCGTTTGCAAAATGGAAAAATTGAAAAGGTAATCATTATTTTTGTTTTTGTTGAACAAAGCATTATAGTAGTACTACAAGTCTATGCTTTTAGTTGTTTAATACAAAAAGTTTAATGGTTTTTTTTTTTACAATTAAAATGTAGACTTTTGAAATTAATAATTCATTCATGCCCAACATCTATTTATAATCGAGCAACACTTATGAAGATCCGTGAGACAGTTTGAATCTAAGATATGTGCTTATTACTTATCATAAAAATCATAATATTTATTACAGAAAATTTAATACCAATTTGAAATAAATAAATTATTACTTATAATAAATATTGTAATATTTATATGCGAAATTGTGATACTCTTTAGGTTAAATGATTGTTATTAATGATAAATATTGTAATACATACAACTGAAATTGTGATACTTACAAAGTGTAATTCTAATGTAAATATTGTACGGAGTAATACTTATATGTGAAATGTTGCTTATAAATGAAATTGTAATATCTTTGGGGAAAATTTAATACCAATTTGAATTAAAAATAAATCGTTACTTATGATAGATATTGTAATACTTGGGGTAAAATTGATTGTTACTAATGATAAACATTGTAAAACATACTTATAACTGAAATTGTGATGATACTTTTTAGGGTAAAATTGATTGGTATTAATGATAAATATTGTAATACTTGTAACTGAATTGTGATACTTACAGCACCTAGTTGTCTACAACACGATCCGTCTCACTGATAAGGATTCATGGCACGGTCTTAATTACACCAGTTTTTGCCTTTATAATTTATGTATGAAGTGGGAGATTTTGTTGACTTTAAGAATGATATATTCATATTTTAATTTCCCCTAAATTTAAATGTTTATAAGCTTATTTCATTAATGGTATATATTCTATTGGAGAACTAAAATTTATTACCTACATTGTGTAGTTCTATTTTCAAGAAGGTGTGAAAAAGACTTATAGATCCATGCAAGAAGTGAAGATTTATATCTTGGAAGGAAGAATAATACGTACTCCACGCAAGGTATGTAACTTGTGATTTTAACTTAGATTAAATTAAATAAATCTTTTTAAAAAAAAATATTTTTAAAAAAATATATTTACATGGCTGCAGAGAAAAGGAGAAGCTTCAACTTCTAAAGATGGAAAGAAAGCAAAGGAGAAGGTAGTAGAGAAGTAGTACAATTTGATGAAGGAATTCTATGACAGATGTTATAATAGTCTCCAAAACTTTAACATCAAAGAATAAAACAATGCTTCAAACTCAATTACCAATAATATTGATGAGGAAAAGAAACCGCAGAGGGATGCACTTGAGGTGAAAGGTTTTTTTTTAGCTCAATCATACAATAATATCCTTCACTATTTTGACTAGAGGAGGACAAATCATATTAACAGTTGTGGTTGATCTTTCTTTCTTTAATTATGAAATCTTGAATTTTAAAATCATTTTTTTTTCATGAATGGTGATTGTTGGATGAAATTATGATGCTTTAATTAATTAGAAATTTTTTAAACTCACTCTAGCCCCCCTCCCCCCATCCACTTATACCATGGACCAAGGTTCATAGTGCACTATGGACCCTGATGCATGTGTATGTATCGTATGTTGTGAGTTTTTGTGTCTTGTGTTATGAAATTCTGTATCTTAAGAGTACGAATTTTGTACGTGAAACAAATTAGTAATTGTAGTGTGTCTTATGTTATGAATTTTTGTGTTTTATGTTCTGAAATTTTGTGCTTATGAACACAAATTATGTACCTAAATCATATTTGAAAAATAAGTAAATATATAACATCTGTGTGTCTTGTGTTGTGATTTTTTGTGTCTTGTGTTATGAAATTTTGTACCTCGTCGTTTCAATTTAGAGTCTATAAAACTATGTGAACTTTAATTTGGTCCATGATATAAATTGCACACTGGGAGCTGTAGAGCTATGTTATTAAGATATATATATATATATATATATATATAATGTCATCTAGGGTCTTTCGAGTATATTGGTTTTGTCACGTTTAGTCCTAAAGAAGTAAAATAAGGGCAACGTCGTCGTTTCACGACCAGTTAAAATTTAATTGAAAGATCACGGGTGATTAACTTGAAAGATAAAGGATCACGATGGTTAACTTGAAAGATTGAGACTAAACGTGACAAAATCATTATACTCGCAATATGTCAAATGGTATTAACTCTATGTTATTTAAAAGTGGGTCACCATTATTGTTTGTTGCTTAAATCTTCGACCAGCTTTTTTTTTTTTTTTTTTTAATTGACTAGCCACTACTTACAATGCAGCACTAGGGGATGTACATTATTTTTGTACTGAGTGTACATTATATTATATAATGTACATACAATACAAAAATAATGTATATTTAATATATTAAAAATGTACTTTTTGTTATGATTCACATAATAATTTGCCCACGATGGGATCTCCCTCCCTATGAGCCGATAACCACGCCCAAAGACAGTCAAGAGTTCGCTCCAATTCTCCGGCATAACACAAGCATTGAAAAGTAGCTAGAGGAAAATGAGGTTTGTGTGCAGTACGTCTAGGAACTGTTAATCAAAAACCAGTAGTATATTGTTGATCGAATTTTCAAAATGGATTCAAAGATTTATCAATTATAATCTCTCTTAAAGATCATAATGGGTACATAAAATTTCAAGGAAAGACGACAGTCCTACAGCTTTGAAAGTTGGCCCTTCATCCACCTCCTAATCATTTCCAGCGATGCTTTGGGCTGATCCATTGGAACCAAGTGGCCAGCATCATGAACCTTAAGGAAAGTGAGAGGTCCATAGCTCTTTTGTATCCCTTTCTCCTTTCCATCCACTGAAAATGTCACGTTCGGAGCTGCACCGAAGCCTCTCTTCCCAGACCACTGCAAAGCCTGAACCCATCTCCAGTTTCCTGTTTCACATCAACATATCACACAAGTTGCGCTATTCACTACCAGCTAGCTATAGCTTTTGGCATAGTGATAAATGCTTATAATTAATGATGAGACAAGTAACTTACCAAGCCAGTTGCAAATAAGGTCATATTTGCCCGCGTAAACCAGCAGATTGATACCATCCTCTAGCATAGATGGAATGCCCAGTGCAAGATTCTTGAACCAGTCCGATGCCATTGCCTCGTACACATCAGTGCTGCACGAAACAAACTCAATATCCTCGCCCACCCCGAGAGCATCCTTCACTGATTGTGTGTTGAGCAAAGTCTCTACATTTGAGAAGTCATAGCAGAGTGATGATCCCCCATCACATTTCTTCCGGATATCATAGTACTGTACATTATGTGAATTACAAGGAGCCTGCTTAGTGAATGGCATTCGGCAAAATATACATAAACAGAAGAGAATAATGGTGTACATTTATGTCCCCCATAGTATACACTATCTGTTCATAGATGGGCATGCAGCGGTTATTAGCCTCATTGCAAGCATGACCACCAACACTGTTACACTGCCTCACAGCTTCTTGACAATTTGGGACAAGCTGCATCAGGTTATCATGGTCAGATTTCGAGATCAAGTTGTTGTCCAAAGCGAAGTCTGGGTATGCTGGGTACTGTATTTCTGAATTGGTGAGTCCATTGCCGATGGCTATTCCCTGTTACAAAAACAGTTGAGTGGCATTATATATGTTCCAGAACTGTGACAGGAAATCAATTTGTCATTGACATACCTTAAGATTTATGGGAATTCCTTCTTTCTTCTTGTTTCCTCGGTTGATCCGTGAGCCCAATGCAGGAACATAATGCCCAGCATAGGATTCTCCGGTTACAAAGAAGTCATTCTTTGCATATTCTGGGTGAGCCTTGAAGAACTCCTGTATTATTTTAAGTGTAACCAGAGAGTGTTTTACTTCTAATTACTATGGAGATATATGGCACAAGGGAAAATATAAAATTTAGTTGAAGACCTGTAAGAAGGCATAGAGATCATTGCTGACACCATCTTCATCAGAGCGGATGTCTTTTTCACTAGAACTATAGCTGAACCCCGTTCCAATTGGTTGATCAACATATATAAGGTTAGAAGCCTGCGAAATAAAATTATATTTCCGATCCTTTGAATACCAATTCAGAAGTGCCATAATCGTTAAGATGAAAACATCCGTTAGAAGATTACCTTGTCCCATCCATAATCATTCCAAATGAGGGACTGATTGCCAGCAATGTGAAAAGGTCCATTCTCATAAAACAAAGCTAATGAACTACTGCACCCTGGCCCTCCAGTCAACCATATAACAACCGGGTCACTCTTGTTGCTTCTCGATTCAAAGAAGAAATAAAACATCCTGTACCAAACCAAAAAAAACATCGTTCATTCCAAAGATCGAGTACTAGGAAACCATAAAACCCAAAAAACGCACCTTGCATCTACTGTGTTTGGAAGCCTGTAGTAACCAGCATGATGACCCAAATCTTCAACAGTCGCCCCAGAATCACCAAGAAGGTTCAACCTGAACTTCTTCTCGACCAATCTGGGCGAATCCGCTTCCGCCGCCGGCGAGTGGCCGGCGGGACCCCTGTTGAGATCATGCAAGGGGAACAAATTGAGTTGCCTGATCATCTTCTCCGCTCGCCGCTTCGCCATGGATTTAGCCGCCCCATTTGCTTGTCCAGGCGAACAAACTAAAACGAGCACAAGCACAACAGACCAGATGGGATATAAAGTTTTAGCCATATTCCTCGTTGGGATGACAACAATCTGTTTGGACTGTGATTCTTGGTAAGGGCTGTTGGGTTTCCCCGTAAATCAATGGAGATGAGTTTTCATCAGTATTTATGTGCGTGTGAATACATATGGTTTAGGATTTAAGACGCGTATAGGAACTCATTTATTTTATTTTATATCAAATAACAATGTAATTATTTTTTACGACTGTATAAATTTTCATAACGGATTAATATATTTTCAAATAATTGCCGTTTTATATGGAATAAAGTCGATTAATATGTGGGTCGAGAGGTAACTTAGGTCAAGCAGTCAAGCCAGTTGTTAATTTGGTTTGAAATAATAATTTTGCTTTACGAGTTCAAGAATTTGAAAATTCAACTAATAATATTTATTACATAAAAGGGAAAAGTTGAATAATAAAAAAATATTGTATAACTTTGAAAATACTTTATTATTATACAATGAATAATTTTATTTTTTTTTTCGAAAACCATACAATGAATAAATTAATTGTCCGGAGACTAACATATTTTATATTGTTATTAGTACCTTAATAATATTGACTCTTGTACAATTTAGTAAATATATATGCTCATAACACATATTATAATTATCATGCAAATTGCATATCTATATGTTACAATATCAAATAGTTACTTGTAAAGGCACCTCCAAAAGGGAAGATTAGGGAGAAAGATAGGAGAAAGGGATGGAGGGAAGGTGGAAATATTCGACGTTAAAGAGAAAGTTCTATCCAAAGAAAAATAGAGAGGGAGATGGCATGCGTGCAAGCAAGCACCACTAGCGTGTGTGCCTGTTTGCAAGTACGCATGATGGTGGGGGACAGTTGTCCCCCAACGTCATTTTTTCAATATTTAAAAAATTCAAATTTCTCAATAGTTTTTTTATCGTTGATGTCAATTTTTTTTTGTTGTTTAAATATAATTTTTTTTAAAAAATTATTTAATTTTTTTTTTGTTTGTTTGTTTTTAACCATTATTGTTTGCCAAGCACTCTGTGCTCAGATAGCATCTCTATGGCTCCCCTTGAAGGAAGGTCACAAGATCGAACTCCGGTGGTGGGGTATTGACTCTTTGGGCTCTAGTATTTAGAGAAAGTATAGGACAGATATTACCTTGTAATAGAGTCAATAGTATTCAAAAAAAAAAAACCATCATTGTTTTTTTGTTTAATTTTCGAATTTATTTTTAAATTCAAAATTATTGCATTTATTTGTTTTTATTTATTTTAATTTAAAATCAAAATTTGAAATTAAAAATTTAGTAAAGTGAATAAAATAATAGATGATTACGACCATGAAGACTACAAAATTAAGAGAAAAATTGGAGAGAAAATAATAGAATGGATTAAATAGTGATGTAGAAGACTTGTGTCCACAAAATGGAGAGAAGGAATGAACATGCCCTAAATTGTTTAATTTACACATGCCAGCCAAATCACTTAATATTTATAGATAATTAATACAATAGGGTGGGATGACCAATGCTTGTTGCTAAAGGCTTGATTCTAAATTTTTACCCTCAATATATCACCTGAGTACCAACTTCTTTATCCTTCATAAAATACTTGTCTTTGTTGTGTGAGTTTTCTACCATAGTTAGAATTTTGAATTTTCACATAAAATATTACATTTTTAAAATTGGTTCGCTTATAAATATGCTCATAAGTCATAACACATGGTATAATTATCTTGCAAATTGCATATCTATTTAGTTACAATATCAAATAATTACTTGTAAAGGCACCTCCAAAAGGGAAGATTAGAGGAGAAAGAGATGAGAAAGGGATGGAGAGAAGGGAAGAAACATTCACCACAGAGAAAGTTCTATCTGAAGAAAGAAGGAAAGTGAGATTGCATGCTTGCAGCACGCACCACTAGCATGTGTGCCTGCCAGCAAGCACGTGTGATGGTGGGGATAGTTTTTCCTAACATCACTATTTCAATATTTAAAAAAAAAAAATCGTACTTTTGATCCCTCAATTAGTAGTCCATATGCATTGGCATCCCTACTTTTCAATTTGGACAGAATTGGCCCCTCAATTATTCGACTCTTAGTCAATTTAGTCCTTCTGTAAGTTAATCAGTTTAATTCCGTTTAAACCAGGGGTATACTTGGAATTTCACATAGCATTTTTTATAATAAGTGTATTTCCTTCCCTTCCTCCGCCCAGTCTGAAATTTCACCTAGTATGGTTTCTACTAGCAGTCCCATTCCCACGACCAACCGTAATAGTAACTGCAACAGAAACCATGGCCCTTTTACCAACACTTAGAGAATTATCAAAAACCTTGGCCCACGACAAAACCGGGGTTGATCGAGATGCATCACTGGCCTCATCCATGGCTTCCGATCGTCCATGCAATGACTCAAACACCGGAGAAGCCTCTAACGACGGGTTCTGGATCGCAACACGAGACTTCGTAGAAGGCCGTCGATCATGAAATTATTGATGGAGATCACGTTTATGAGGAGAGACGAGGCATTGGGAGGGTCGCATGATAGCATCGCCGGCCTGGAGGCGCTTGATCACTAAAGAAGACAAAGTGTAACTCTTGCGACGCAAGTCCGACAATATTTCGCGAACTCGCACCAGGTCTTGCTCCATCGATTTTGGAGGCAAACCACCACCCCCCGTTATCACCTCAAAGAGGCGAAGAGGAATGATCGGATAAGATCGCTGAGATGGATAACATCGGCGCCGGAATTTTGGTGGCGGAAATGGTAGACCAGGCGGAGGAAGGGGAGGAAATACACTTACAATGCTATGTGAAATAATTCCAAGTATATCCTTGGTTTAAACGGAGACAAACTGATTAACTCAAGAAGTACTAAATTGACTAAGGGCCGAATAATTGAGGGACCAATTCTGTAATTAGAAAGTAGGGATATCATTGCATATGAGCTACTAATTGAGGGACCAGAAGTGCGATTTCCCCTTTAAAAAAATTCAAATTCCTCAATGATTCCATGCGTGCGACACGCACCACTAGCATGTGTGCATACTTGCAAGCATGCGTGATGGTGTGGGATAGTTGTCCCCCAACATCACTATTTCAATATTTAAACAAATTCAAATTCCTCGACAGTCAAAACTATTCAGGCCAATTTAATTTAATTTTTGTAAATATTTAATTTGTTTGTTTGTTTGTTTTAAACAATCACTATTTTATTTGTTTAATTTTTGATTTTTTTTTAAATTCAAAATTTATTCATTTAATTGTTTTAATTTATTTTTATTTAAAATAAAAATTTAAAATTAAAAGTATAGTAAAGTGAATAAAGTAATAGATGATCGGGATGATTGGGGCCCATAAAATGAGAAGAAATAGGAGAAAGATTATGGATAAAATAAGATAAGAGATTAAATGGTGACGTGAAGAGTTACGTTGTGCCCACAAAATGAGCAGAAGGAATGAAGATGTCCTAAATTGTTTAATTTACACATTTCAGCACAATCACTTAATATTTATAGATAACTAAATACATTAAGGTGGGATGACCCATATCTGGTGCTAAAACTCGATTATATTTTGAGCCTTTATCCTAAATCTATCATCCAAGTACCAATTCTTTATCCTTAATAAAGTACTTGTCTTTGCTCTGTGAGTTTTCTACTGTAGTTAGAATTTTTACATAAAATATAACGAGTTATTGCCATTTTTTGGTCTTAGACTTATTGGGACATTGACATTTTTCATCCTTCATAATAAAAATTGTCAATTTGTAGCCACGCTTATTGGTCGTGGGACACTTTTAGTCCTCCGTCGCTTATGCCGTTTGTTGACCGTGAACTAGAAGGACTTTTTTGTCTTTTTATGTCTTCTTCTCCTAATCCTTTTATTCCTCCATTTTAGTGGGTGTTTTCATCGATTTAGAAGTAGAGTTTGAAGGCCCCAAGTCCAGGACTCAAAGTAATTAATAACGAAATTGCAACAACAAAAAGCAGAAATTTTGAATCAGACATTGCAAGATTAACCGGTCAATTCTGCGAGAGGGAGATTGAGGTTGAGATCGACATACATTGCAACAACCTTGCAAGATTAATCGCAGGGAGATCAATCAGACAATCATACATTGCAAGATCAATCTGACAATTCTGAAAATTTGAATCAGACATTGCAACAACCTGGAGTGCTGCAGCTCACTTTTCCCTTTGCCTTCCCTTTCTTTCCACTTCCACTACTGCAATGAGCTAAAGACGTCGTCGTTTTGAGCTTTTCCTTCAAGTCATCCACCACCGCCTCGTACGACGCCACCACTTCCTTGAGCGTCGCCGCCCCTACTTTCCGCCTCCCTCGTCCACTGTCGTCACTACCAACGCTTTTTCAACACCTCAATCCTCCACACTACCACGTCAGCCACACGCATCTTATCCGGATCCCATGGGTAGTGCGTGTTCTAGAGGCTAACGTACGCCCTCTTCCTCAGTTATTGACTCCTCCTTACCGCCGCCTCCTAGAAGCTTGAAATCGGCTTCCTCTTCGGCGTCTTCGTAATGTGTGTTCTCCTTCTCCGCCTTGCACTTGTCGTCATCGGAGTCCTCGCCGCCGTGACTAACCGAAACTTCATCGTCATCGTGGTTGGCGGTGACCAGTGGGTGGAGCAAGCAAGACGAGGTGACCGCTGAATCAGATCAGAGAAATTGGAGCCTGGTTCGCCATTCTCCTTATGCCTCTAGGTGGGGTAGGTGGGGCGTCGGGGAGGAGTGAGGTCATGGAGCTGGTGGACTAAAATGATTAAAAGAAGAAGACAAAATGACATAAAAGTCCTTCTAATTCACGGTCAACAAACGACACAAGTGACAGAGGACTAAAAATGACCAATAAGCGTGGTTACAAACTGACAATTTTTATTATGGAGGATGAAAAGTGTCTATGCCTCAATAAGTCTAGGACCAAAAATGGCAATAACTCAAATATAACATTTTAAAAATTGATTTGCATATAAATTATGAATTATCCAATTACTAACTTATACAAGCACCGACTTAATGCATCCCGAGATCATGTCCACAAAATCTGAGCTGAAGCCCATCTTTAG